GCCATCAATTCCCGGAGCCTTGTTCTTCGCCAGTTCCTTCATTGCAGCTTTGACTTCTTCCTTCATTACCATTGGTTCTAGATCATATGTCACTTCCTGAAATGGATGAAGATTGATCAGTTCTTTTTGGTACAGTGACTCTTAAAATACATTATTTTCCTCAAAATAGAACATAGAGGAATGTTTTGCATAGGTAAGAATAAACTAGACATTATAGTCATAACCTTCCAATATTTAGCTTTTAGAACTATAAAGTTAATACTTTCTTTAATGTATTAAGGTTTAATTTTTGTTAATCCTGTATTGTCATGCTTCTCTCAGAATTGTTTTCTGAATAAAATTCTACTATAAATTTCATTTTTAAATATCTCATAACCCTGGGGAATTGCTGTATCACTATATTTACCTCTTAAACTTACTTCTCTGAAGATAAAAAGGTTAAGCAAAGACTCCCCAGAATTATATAGAATAAGCACTTAGTGCAGCTGGCAAGGTTCTGGTTCTTCATCCGTTTTGGACCCAACCACAGAAGCAGGAGATAGTAAAATTCTATTATAAATTTGATTCACTGTTGCATATTTGAATATTAAAAAGAGTTCATTTTAAGTTAAATACTTTGTTGCATTATATACATATGTATGTATTTACACATATGAAAAGTGATTTTTAGCTTTACAAAAAAGCACACAAATAAGTTATTCATAGGTTAAGAAAAACGACTAGTGTTCTCAAAGAAAAGCTTAGAAAGATGTCTTGAATATAGTGATTATAATTTAAATAAACAATAGAATTGTCATGATCTCCAACTTAGTCCCCCAAATAAAACTGTACTCTTGTTTTCAGTACCAGAGATATTCCAGGCAGTGGCTTCCATTGCCCCACATGTCTCCAGTCTACTATGTAGTTCTTTTCTGCTTCAGATATGGACATAGAGAACCATTTCTCCTTAAAATATTAGTTTTCTGTCTATGAAATCTTTCATTAACTTTTTATCCCAAGCTTATCTTTTGTGTCTTGATGACCTTTATTTGTTATCTTTGCTCCTTAGGTTCTTTGTAAAACGTGTGTAACGTAAATGATGAAACTTAATTTTCAAAACGTCCAACAGGAATGAGTCTTATTTCTTTGATTTTTTTTCATAGCATGTGTTTTTGTTAGGACTCAAAGGACAGTGTTCTGTATTTGGTTAAACTGGGAAATTAAGTTCAAACATTATAATCCCAATAATTTCATTTTATAATACATTTATTGTTTAATAAATTTTATGTTATTTTGTTCTCTCTGTAGATAAACGTGTGGAAAATTGGCCTCTGATGCAGTCTCCATTGCCTACACTGAGTATAAGTACTCTCTATCTCCTGTTTGTGTGGCTGGGTCCAAAATGGATGAAGGACCGAGAACCTTTCCAGCTGCGCTTAGTGCTTATTCTCTATAATTTTGGGATGGTTTTGCTTAACCTTTTTATCTTCAGAGAGGTAAGTTTGAGTAATATAGTGATACAGTAATTCCCCAGGGTTATGAGATCCTTAAAAATGAAAATATGTAAAATCATCATTGGAATATTACATCCCAAGATAACTATTAGCTACTCTAAAAGTAAACTTTGTGTTGCTGACATTTTTCATTTTAGGATGCCAATAAGATTAAATTAAATTTTTGGTTAAGAAGATTCATAAAGGAAAAAAAAGAGGATACACACACATACGCATACACACATACACATGCATACATACACACACACTCACACCCATTGCCATCGAGTCAATTCCAACTCATAGCAGTTTTATAGGACAAAGTAGGATGGCCCCATAGGGTTTCCTAGGCTATAATCCTGGTGGAAGTATTCTGCCACATCTTGCTTCTATGGGACAACTGGTGGAACCCCCTAACTTTTGATTTGCTGCTCGGTGTTTTGACCACTGCAACACCAGGGCTCCATACACACACACACACACACACACACACACACGAGGTAACAATGAGGGAATACACTCATACAAGCATACATGAGGTTTGACACAGTAGTTTAAACTAGAATTTGAATCAGAGCAATAGCCTTTATCAGCTCTTTTGACATTGGCAGTTTTTTTTTTTTTTTTAACTTTTCTGAAACTCATTTTTTCCCCATCTGTAAAATGGGAATAATATCTACCTTTTAAGGTTATCAAACTTAAGTGAGATAATTTTTGCATAATGTTTGGTATATTCTAAGCACTCAGTAAACAATAGAAGCCATTTATAATTTTTAATCAGCAGTTTTAGGATTTGATTACTTATCAACCTATGCAAATGTAAAATACTGATACCCAGTTAAATCCTATTATGTAATGTCATTGCATTTTGAGTTATAACTAAAATGATCTAAGGTATAACATTATGTGCCATACCCTGTGGCTGCTATTCATGTGCTTTCTGGGCCCCAGCAAATTCTCTATGACATTTTGGAAGAAAAGCTTGAAGTGAAAAAGCCATTTTTTTAGGATGTGAGAGTGTAAGAAATTCATTACCTAAGAGACTATTCAGAGTTTAAAATTTTATATGAACCCAGAGAACAGGACTAACAATGCTAGGGAAATAAGCAGTAACTTTCTTTCTTTTCTTTTTTTGATACTTCTACCCAATTTGTTAGATGTAGTAGGGTAACTGTTATATTTGAGTCATGGTAATCAAGATCTATCTCAATATTTTGAACTAGAGTTGATCTCTTAGTACAAAAGTTAAACTTGCAAGTTTTAACTTCCATTTCAATTGCATTGACACAGTAACTTTTAGAAATTTAGATGCATTAAATTATGTTTAATGATTTAGACTTTCTATTACTTAGGAGCTCTGGTGGCATAGTTCCTAAAGCATGTGACTGTTCACCAGAAGGTTGGCGGTTCAAACCTACCAGCCACTCCTCAGAAGGAAGGTTGGGCAGTCTACTTCCATAGTGATACTGCCTCAGAAACCCAAGGAGGGGTCGCTATGAGTCAGATCAGATTCGAAGGCAGTGAGTTTGGTTTTTTGGTTTTATTACTTAGAACATTTATTTATTTATTTTAGAAAATACTGATTTAAAAATAATTTGAAAGGTTGAATATTATAGTTCATATTCTTAATGCTGTATCTACTAAAACTTTTTTCCTTTTTTCCCTCAGTTATTCATGGGATCATATAATGCAGGATATAGCTATATTTGCCAGAGTGTGGATTATTCAAATAATGTTCATGAAGTCAGAGTAAGTATGTTAAAAATACTGTTAATCAGATGAAGTAGATTTAATTTTAGAGACCCAAGTCTATCTCCAGTATAATCTTGCATCTTTCACTTGGTAGTGTAAGAATGAATATGTGCTTGATTACTAGAATAAAGTCCTTTTTGTACAGCAGTTCATACACATTTTGTCACATGACAGTGACTGCAATTCCCCACAATGTAACAGCTCTCTTCCCACTTCTCCCTATAGTTACCTCTTCCTGTGTCCTTCTCTCCCATGTACTCCCACCCCCCAACCTGTGCAAACACTATTCTTCTGTTCTCCCACGATTGATTGCTCCATGGAGTGGATCTACCTGATGTAAATGTTCACCCCATGTGCCTGTCTGTTGTTTGGCTGGAAGCCACAGGAGTGAGATCAATTCCAGGCTTGATGGGTAACTAGGGGCCATAGTCTCAGAGGTCTCAGCAAGCTCTATCAGACCAGCAAACCTGGCCTTTTTTTTTTTTTTTTTTTTGAGTTTTGTTCTACATTGTTCTCCCGCTCTATCTAGGAGGGTTGACAGTGATAGCCGTGCACCATCCAGTTCTTCTGGTCTCATGCTCATATAGGCTGAGGATTGCATGGTCTACCAGTCCCCTTGGCCTAATTGTTTCCATATCTTTGGTTTTCTTCAAGGAATGAAGTCCTTTTTTTTTTTTTTTTAAAAAAAAAAAGTTAAGACCCAAATCACAATAATATTTTTTCAGAAAAATAAAAAATAGAAGTTCTGTGTTCATTGTAAAAATATTATTTTAGAGTCTTTTGTTTTTGGTTCAAAATAGAAATGCATAAAGAAGGTTCAATTCATTTCTTAAGAAAATTTATGTACTGTATAATAAATACCAAGGAGCTCTGGTAGCATAGTGCCTAAGGCACTTGACTGCTCACCAGAAGGCTGGCGGTTCAAACCCACCAGTCACTCCTCGGAAGGAAGGTTGGGCAATCCTGCTTCCGTAGTGATACTGCCTCGGAAAGCCAAGGAGGGGTCACTATGAGTCGGGGCCAACTCGACGGCAAACAACAACAACAATAAATAGCAAGTTAAAGGTAGCATAACTTGTATAGGTATTAACTCAGTTTGTTTTATATTTGGGATAAAAAAGTAAGCCACTAATACTATGTTAATGTATTTTGTTTTGTAGTCATCCGTGTCAATAAACTTACTATTTTATATTCCAATGAAAAAACAAATTATTCTTTTTTATTTTTTTAAGTATTTATTGGATCTTGTTGTGTACTGTTAGTCATATTAAAAATGATATAACATAAAACATAAGTATAACATGTAAAATGTAATGGTAGTTGCTTCCCTTGGAATAATTAGTTTTCTGGCACGGGAATCAGACAACATAAATAGCAGTATTCATCAAAACCCAAGGCCACATTGCTTACATATACTTAATATTTTATGTCTATAACTTCATTTCCTTGTTAGAAGACTTTTGTGCTGGTGAAAACCCCTTTGGTTATCATGTTGGTTTTCAACAAATGTATATAGAGCCCCTCCTATGTGCAGATACTGTGAGCAGCGTTAGAGACATGGATAAAAAGACACATGTGGTCCCTGCCTCATTATAGTGGGTGTGGGAGAGAGAGATTATAATCATGTGACAGATGGTTAAGAAGAAAATAAAACCTGTGATGTAGCAGAGAGAACAGGGGGATACTACTTTGTTTAAATTTGTTGACCAGGAAGATATTTTCTTCTGATAACTGTATAGCCAGAGAACCTCCTCAGTGTAGAGCAAGCTTCTGTGGCCTTGCTGGCTTGGGGGCAGGGAAAAGGAAGGGAGAAGAGTTTGAGTTGCTTTCATTGAGCTGTGTGTTTAGAAAAAGCGCTTGAATGAGACAATAAGTTAATTTTGTTTAGGACAAAGATTTTTGAGATACAGGGGAACCTGAGATAGCCAAAACTCTCCAGAGCTGCCTTGTTTTTCCAAGTCTCACAAGTGCTCTGCCTTTGACAGGGTGCAGTCTTCTCTCTCCGTGGACAATATTTGAGTTTTCCTTCTCTGACAGATTTCTGCCTTGCAGAAGTTACGGCTTTCACAGACTTTACCATTCTGTAATTGTGAACCTACCCTCCTGACTTATATAAATAGTGAATTCTTTAAAAAATTTGCTACTATGATAGCTGTAATCTCAGAGGAGAAAGAACCTGAGATTTGCAATAGATTGTATTTGAAATTTTTCTTTCCGTCTTCTCTCAACTCCTTTCTTCTTCACCACCACCCACCCAACACACACATACACATTCAACTTAAACTAAAACTCATTTAGAGCAACTCACCCAATTTAAATGTTACATGTCTGAAATGTCCCCCTAATGTAGTATATAAGCTAGGATTTGTAGCTAGTGGGTTTATAATTTTACCTGTATGGGAGAGATTGGAACATCCTCATCTGATATCTAAAGAGATCGTGCTATTACATGACTGTTAATTCTTAGTGAATCAGGGAGTGAAGGGTCTATATAATAGACCTATGTATGCATGTTTTCACTTTCTCATAATGTTCTAATTGAAAATCAATAATAAATCATTCATGGTCAAATGTTATGATACTTTTCTTAGTCTGAGTAATATTATATTTACTTTACTAATAAAAATTTAAATTACACCCTATGAGAATTTATACCTACTATCAAAGTGAATTAAGGAGCTCTGGTGGTGCAGTGGGTAAGGTATTTGGCTGTTAATGGGAAGGTCAGCAGTTCAAACCCATCAGTTGCTTCACAGAAAGAAGATGGGCAATCTACTTCAGTAAAGATTTACAGCCTTGGAAATCCATCGGGGTTGCTGTGAGTCCAAATCCACTCAATGGCAGTAGGTTTGGTTTGGTTTTTGGTATCAAGGTGAATTAACAAATACTAATAATGGAAGGAAGGTTGGGCAATCCTACTTCCGTAGTGATACTGCCTCGGAAACCCAAGGAGGGGTCGCTATGAGTTGGGTTTGACTCGATGGCACATAACAACAACAACAATAATGGATATTATTTGCCCTGTAATGTGTCTGGAATCTGTCCCTCCCGTAAGATTTTCTCTATCAAAATCTCCCAGCAAACTGGAATATTCAGTTTTGCTGGATGAAAATTAACCAGATACTGCTTAAAGGAAAATAATGTCTATAAAGTATGTCAGAAGTTGCTTCTTTTTCAACTTTTATGTTGCAGTAAGAATGAATTATTCTAGAATGCTTCTCTATGCTTGTTTTAACTTTAATAGGTCACCTGCAATTACAAGACATTTATGGATTTTGGAAAAACTTATACACAAATAGTATATTGTTTGTTGCTGTTGTTGTTATGTGCCATCGAGTTGGACCTGACTCATGGCAACCCCTTCGTGGGTTTCCAAGGCAGCATCACTATGGAAGTAGATTGCCCAGCTTTCCTTCTGAGGAGTGGCTAATGGGTTTGAATGGCCAGCCTGCTGGTTAGCAGTCAAATGCCTTAGGCACTATGCTACCAGAGCTCCTAGTACGTTGTTACTCACCACTAATAAAACATTAGTACACTAGTACTTTTTAAAAATCCCACTGCTGTCAAGTTGAACCAACTCATAGCGACCCCTCCTTGGGTTTCCGAGGTGGTAGCACTACAGAAGTAGATTGCCCAACCTTCCTTCTGAGGAGTGGCTAGTGGATTTGAACTGCCAGCCTTCTGGTTAGCAGTCAAACGCCTTAGGCACTATGCTACCAGAGTTCCTTAATTTTTCAGGATAGTTCATTTTATAAGAATCACAGTGAAAGTATGATAATATCATGAGTTACTCAGTTTCAGTGTAGACATTTAGTTTCTCATAGTGCTAATAATTATAATATTTATTGGATACAGTGGAATGAATGGTTTACTCAGAGAATGATTTTTTTTTTTTTTAATTCAAAAGTATCACTTTGTCATTGTGGTATAGCCTGTTCAAATACATCTAATGAAGTTTATAAAGTAAGGAAAAGAATTCTAAGACTTTATTTGCTACTTTCTGTGCTAAAATAGTTATAGTTACTTTATTTTAAAGTACTAATGTAATAGTTAATGTAGTGTTGCTGTGAGTCATTAACTATTGCATACCTATTGTCAACCAATTTTACCATTTTCAACAATATTTTTACTTAGATAAATTCAGTAAATAATTTTCAGTGTTTAAATCAAAGACTTTTTTTTCTTTGACTTTTCTCTTTCCTCTTCCACACTTTAAAATTGCAGTTTTGTTTTCTAAAACCAAAACACAAAAGCAGAGCAGAGGAAAACAAAAACTTATTTCATCCAACAGATGTAGACAGAAGATAAGGAAGGGCTCTTTCAGTCTAAAACACCTAAGCCTATCTTTGAATGAATCTGTATAAAGCTCCTGACAAACAAAGGTGTATAAACAGATTTCAATTTCGTACTACCTCAATTATTATTTGTTTATATATAAGAGGTTTTCACAGAAAAAAATTGACATAAAAAAGTTAAGTTTAGGCTACTGTTAGAGTAGGATTCTTGTAAAGTATTTAAAATCGTACCTACAGAGGTCACCTCTCACTGAATCCCTAATCTCAGAACGTAATGTTAATCTTTCTGTACCATCTGGTGTCTTAATTAGAGCCCAGGTAAAGAAAAGATTTATGCATGTAAGCAGGATTATATTTCTGACCTAGGAATAGTTAATATTTGTTACTTTTTAAAAGTTTAATTTATCATGTTAATGATTTTACTACCTAACAAACTGCAGTACTTATTTTGCTGCATCTTTTAAAATGAGAGAGAGAGATACTGATGGACGAGTTGCTACACAAAGCTGTTACCTGGAAGTGTATCTCAGGTATACTGTACACTAGGCATGAGCTCTGGTGGTGTAGTGCCTAAGGCATTTGACTGCTAACCAGAAAGCTGGCAGTTCAAACCCACCAGCCACTCCTTGGAAGGAAGGTTGGGTAATCTACTTCCGTAGTGATAACCGCCTCAGAAACCCAAGGAGGGGTCGCTATGAGTCGGATCCGACTCGATGGCAGTGCGTTTGTTTTTTTGGTTTGGTTAGGCATGAGCAACAGAAATGTCTTTACATAGTAAACATCTCAGTTTTCCACCAAAGACAGAGCAGTGTGAATGTGTTTACTAATCTGTGTTCAGCAGTTTGAAGCTATATAATATCCAGCAGTTAATCAGAGTCTGAGAATTTTCTCTGAATCGTTGGCAGTGTATAGATAAAGCTCTTTCTTTCCTAGGTAGAGTATAAGTTTCACACCTTCTCAGTTTGAAATGATTCCATTCCATTCCTTCTGCATTTTGGGCAATGAGGATAATTTTGGACTGATAATGGGTAGAAAAAAAATGATAGTGTCAGTCTGGTGTTTACAACCATGCCTTCTCTTTCTTTTTACAGATAGCTGCTGCTCTGTGGTGGTACTTTGTATCTAAAGGAGTGGAATATTTGGACACAGTATTTTTTATCCTAAGGAAGAAAAACAACCAAGTCTCTTTCCTTCATGTATATCATCATTGTACAATGTTTACATTGTGGTGGATTGGAATTAAATGGGTGGCAGGGGGACAAGGTGAGCATTTTCAAAACCTTTTTACATATTATTAAAACATACTAAATGTATTGATTGGAAAGTAATGGGAACCTGGGAATTTGACTGGGTCTGTCATTTAACTTGCTTTCATGGTTAACTATTATGTGTTAATTTCATTTTAAAAAAATTTGAAGAAATTAAAGCATTAACTTTCTTACCTCTAACTATTTCATCTAAGGATTGACTTCTAAGATGAACATAAACCAAGCTTAAATGAGAATGCAGTATTTTGATTTGTAGCAATTCTGGTAGTTCTGATCCAAAGGACTCCCTCTTTAGTCCAAGCCCAGGACCCATTCCTATTCTAAAGTAGGCCTTAGATGACCCTGCTGGTTCTTATTCAAAGGGAATTTATGCAGCCCTGTTAATGTCAGTGAGAATCTAAATTTACAGTTTGGCTCAGATCTTCCCCTAGTCTTGTCAAAAAATGCCAGTAGTTTGAGGAATGCTGAACTGGAAACAAACCATTCTTCTGGTGGAGATCCAGGGTGCAAGTCACAGTACAGGTCACCTGGCTACTTTCATTGGCATATTATGGAAATTGAGAGTTTAGGAATTTACAGTTAAATTGTTATTAGGGCCCCAATTTAAAATAATACAATTAAAGTAAAACTGTGCTTTCAGAAGAGAATTAGTAAATCTGAACTGATCCCTTAAATTGCTTTATAACAATATTAATTTTTATTCTAACTGTTTTTGGATTTAATTCTTATTCCTAAGTGAAAGAATGCCATTGATTTTGGCTGACTAGGTGATCTGTAAATTTACATGTACTAAATGAATTATTCAGTATGTGTAACCAAACACCAGACCAAACCCATGGCTATGGAGTTGATTCCAACTTACAGCAATCCAGTAGGACAGAGTAGAACTGCCCCATAGGATTTCCAAGGCTGTAAGTCTTCATAGAAGCAGGCTACCACATCTTTCTCCTGTGGTGTGGCCAGTGGGTTTGAACCACTGACCTTTCAGTTAGCGCTAGTGTGTGTAGTACTAACATATTTAAAACTATTCAAAAACCTAAGAAATAATTACTATTTTGTTATAACTATGTATATTGATTTAAAATACATATATATTGAAACATTTACAAATCTTCTTGAAACTTCATATGTACCATGACCTTTTTCACCCAGTAAGAGTAGAATTAAAAGTAATGTAGACAGTGGTTCTGTTGTTAGGGCCTACTTAAGCTGACTGGAGTGCACCATCTGAAAACTTAAAACTTTGAACTTGCCACTTTGAAGATCCTTTCCATTTGAACAACACATGGTCTTATTTATATGATAAAAACCCAAATCTGAAGTGTGAAATACTTACCTTGATCTGTGGGGAAGGCTTTTCCATTAGTACTAAATCTTTTGTTCCTTATCTATACTCAAGATTAAGGAGCTCTGGTGGCACAGTAGTTAAGGCATTCACTTGCTATAACCAAAAGGTCAGTGGGAGAATAATGAAGATTTACAGTGTTTGAAACCATATGGGGCAGTTCTTTTATGTCCTATGGGGTTGCCATGAGTTGGAATTGACTTGATGAAAGTGGGTTATATTGGAGATTAAATGTGAGAAGATAACGGGAATTCATTTATTTATATCCAAAAGGTTATGGCTAAAAAACTTTTCTGTATTTTACAATTATCTCTCATTTCTCTAAAGCATTTTTTGGAGCCCAGCTGAATTCCTTTATCCATGTGATCATGTACTCATACTATGGGTTAACTGCATTTGGTCCATGGATTCAGAAGTATCTCTGGTGGAAGCGATACCTGACCATGTTACAGCTGGTGAGTTAAATACCTTTAAAGTTTCTTCTGGTGAAACCCTGAAAATGTTTTGGTTTTAGTAGTTGGAAAATATTAAGTCATTTCACACAATTAGTTTTTCTAGCTGTAGTTGAGACTGCTTGACTATAACCTATCTACTTACAGACATAGTTGTTGTTGTTGTTGTTGTTACGTGCCATCGAGTCAGACCCGACTCAGACTCATAGCGACCCCTCCTTGGGTTTCTGAGGCGATATCACTATGGAAGTAGATTGCCCAATCTTCCTTCCGAGGAGTGGCTGGTGGGTTTGAACCACTAGCCCTCTGGTTAGCAGTCAAAGCCTTAGGCACTACGCTACCAGAGCTCCCTACAGACATAGTAGGAATAGCCATTTCCTTTTTTAATGTCTAGACTAAATTCAACATGAACCCCTTTAAAGAGAAACATTCTTTTAAAATATCTGTGAAATGGATCATTAAATATCTGAGTGTACTGCAAAGTATATAGACTCATGTATGACTAGAAAAATATAATTCTTTCCTCAGGTGATTTTTTTTTTTTAATCTTAAAAATGTTATTATTACCTTTCTTTATCTTGTTCTTGCTTAAGTTTTCTGGTTTCTTTTCCATTTTTCAGTCCTTGTTAACAGATCCCATATGTTTAGAATGTAAAATTTGAAAACAAAGCACAGAGCTAAGGAATGTGGAGGATAATTGTTTAAAGCGAAGGAGATAAGGGCCAGAAAACTCTTCCTTAGAGACAGGTCAGATATTTTCAAATGCTAGATCAGACAGCTTTCAGCACCTATCCCTAGTAGGATTTCTTAGAGCATTTGGGTGTGTAAATGTAGCATTTCAGAGTTAGGCCCAGTTTGTAATCAAACTGAAAATCTAAAACCAAAATTGGTAGCTATTCTTCAAGCCTTGGAATTTATTATAATTTGCTTTAATCATAACGTGTACATAGTTTTATCAGTGGAATCACATTTGGAAATACTATCTGTCTCTTGTTCTAAATTGCTAAACATCTGGCTAACCAAACAGGAAACACAACTTTTGCGGAATGATGGGTGTGAAGGAATCATTTGTAACTGCAGTGCTATCGGAAGCTTCCTTCAGGTTTTTGTGCAAGATGTTTTGTTTGTGCAATTCATTTTTCCTGCTAATTAGTAACTGATCCTGAGAACATGAAGAAATGTCAAAAATTATGTGAACAAGTTATATTTGGTATTTGTTTTTTTGGAGCCTGCACCTTGAGCAGTTGCATACTCACATCCATATGTACGCAGTTTGTCAGTGATGCACATTCTAAGAACCACTGTGAAATCCAAAGCTCTTAAAGTCTGGATTTTGCCTTGGAAACTTTTAAAAATCACTTTGATAAAAAATTTCTGACTTACATGGAATTAATTTTTTTAATATATTTAGTATATTGTTATTAGGTGCTATTGAGTCAGGTTTGACTCCTAACAACCCTGTGTACAGGAGAAGGAAAACACTGCTGAGTCCTGCAGCATCTCCACAGTTGCTGCTATGCTTGAGCCCGTCGTTGCAGCCACTATTTAATATCATAGTTAATATTGATAGTGCTGTCTTTAAAAAAGAAGCCATCACTCTCTATTAATAGTAGGATGTTAATTCTGTGAAGAGTAAGCCAACCAGTTGCCATCAAGTTGATTCCAATCATGACATCTTCAAGTGTATCAGAGTAGAACAGTGCTCCCTAGGATTTTTCAGAAGTAGATCACCAGGAATTTCTTCAGAGGCACCTCCAGGTAGACTTGAACCTCCAACCCTTTATTCTTTTTGGCCATTGATGTTCCCTCTTGTTAAAACCCACCACAATCTAATAGATTCTGACTCACAGCAACCTTACAGGTTTCCCTCTCATTAAAACCAACCATGATCTAATAGATTGCGACTCACAGCAACCTTACGGGACAGAGTAGAACTTCTGCATAGTTTCCAAGGCTGTAAGTCTTTTATAGAAGTAGAGTACTTCATTTTTCTACCATGGAGTAGCTAGTTGATTCGAACTGCTGACCTTTTTTGTTTAGCAGGAGAATGCCTTAACCACTGTACCACCAGCCTCCTTATTAGATAACATTATTCAACAAATATTCATAGAGTCCAGGCCCTGTGCTGAGAACTCAGAAATTATCAATGACCATGACCAAGCCCGGCCTTCAAGTTACATTCTACTGGAAAGATGGACAGTAAACAAATTAAAGACAATTTCAGGTAGCTATAATGATTATAAAGGAGCTCTGGTGGTGTAGTGGTTAAGGCATTTGGCTGCTAACATAAAGGTCGGTAGTTCAACCCCACCAGCCACTCCATGGAAGAAAGATGAGGCAGTCTGCGTCTGTGAAGATTTACAGTCTTGGAAACCCAAAGGGGCTTGCTATGAGTCAGAATCAACTTGATGTCAGTAAGTTTGGTTTTTTGGTTTATGACTGTTATAAAGAAAATAACAACAACAGCAAACAAAATGCTTTGGTTAATTGGGATAGAGGGCCATTTTGGTGGATTGTGCTTTAGTTCAGGTGGTCAGGAAGCCCTTGCTAGAGAGATAGCATTTGAACTGTGAACCAAATGAGAAGGATCCAGCCATGGGAGCCAGAGAACTATTAATTTTGGGACGTTGTGACAAAATTTGGGTTTAGGGTGTTAAAATTGTTTGCTATTAAAATTGAGTGTATCCTCGAATGTTTTTATTTTTCAGGTTCAGTTCCATGTGACCATTGGACACACAGCATTGTCTCTTTGGACTGATTGCCCCTTCCCAAAATGGATGCACTGGGCTCTAATTGTCTACGCCATCAGCTTCATATTTCTCTTTCTTAACTTCTATGTTCGGACATATAACGTGCCTAAAAAATCGAAAACTGGAAAAACAGCTGTGAATGGTATTTCAGCAAATGGTGTGAGCAAATCAGAGAAACAGCTAGTGATAGAAAATGGAGGAAAGCAGAAAAATGGAAAAGCAAAAGGAGAGTAAATTAAACTGGGCCTTAAGTGTTGTTGACAGTGAGGAAACTCCCATTTCAAACAAAATTTCAGGGAAAAGACAAATAAATGAGGATTTGGGGGTGGGGAAAAAAGGCAAATGTACTCTATGTACTAGTACCTTTAGATGAGTAAAGTATTAAATACAGTACCCAGATATTTTATTTATGAAATTTTTATTTTAAACGTTTTTTAAAAATTATCCTTAATTTAAGTTGTCCAGACCAAAGCAATCATCACGTGACTTTGGACACTCCCTCTGCTCATATCCATTTGTCTAATGGATGAGATTTTCCATGTATCGTACATACATCCATTCTGCATTCTGAATTTTAGAGGATCAAAGGAACATAATCTTTAAGAATTTTTTTGGATTAAATTACTACCTACCTATTGATTAAAATCAGTCACATTACATTTTCTGGTCCAAAGCTGGAAACGCAGATCACTTTTAAATTTGCACATTTGAATTCATTTGCTTACCAGAATGGTTGACTCTGTCCACCTCTTGTCTGAATATACCCTACTGATATGTAAGTAAATTTTAAAAATCTCCTGATCTCTCTAGACTCTTAGAGGTTTGATGATGATGGTGTTGGTAAAAATGAGAAAGAATTAGAGGAAAATCCTGTCTGGTAACCCAGAGGTCATCATGACTTGCGGCACAAATCACTGTGGGAAACCATTTTTATGATGAAAAGGTAGCCTTTGAATATTCCTTTTACTCTGAGAAATATATTATGAAAAGTAAGATTATTATCTGATGGGAACATGAAACAACTCAAGTCTTCATTAGTAACATCATAAGATAGTTGTATTTATGTGCTGTAAGAAGAGAGTATGTTGATTTTTATCAGTCTTTCCTTGTTTTGATTTGTGTCTGTTACTAATTTTTCATATGTGGAAATATACCTACCTCTTCTGTTGGAAAAAACATTTAAAATTAAATAAATTTTAATTTAAAAAATCAAGGAGTCCTATAATGTAAATTTTAATCATTTTAACTTGAACCTACTGCTTTGTTTTTTTGGTTTGCTTTTTTAAAATAGCATACACCCAACTTTTCTGTGAAACTCTCCTTCCCTTTCAATGTGTTTCATTTTGGAGTAATATTTTCCTTGTGACTAAGTTGCAAGATCTTATTTATTAACTAGATAAGAAATGTAAACCCATTTTGGTGCAATATTCTGACTCCTTGGTGCTAAAGATTATTAACTTCAGTGCTTGATGTTACAAGGTGTTGTTAAACTAATGAATAAAAGTGAGAGTAGTCAGAACTATAAAATTAAATTTACTATTTACAAATGAAGTATTTCACATAATATAAGGGAATAACTAGAAGTTCACTAGGAAAGAGCATTTGTACTGTGCTTTATTAGATAGGTTAATTTGTTATGGGTTGTTACCCAGGGATCATTATAGAAAGGACATGTGAAAAAAAAGCATGAATATTTCTAAGTTTCTCTTTACAACTTTTCAGAACTGCATGTGCAGGATGTATGCTATTTGTGCAGACAAACTATTTCAGAATATTTTGTAAGCTATGAAATATTTATTGTGCATTAAAATAATACAACTTTTTTCCCAAAGGCATGCAGCCATGAGAATTATAGAAAATTTACAACACATATAGTAGGTTGGTCTAAGAGGATTAAACCTTTGTTTTTGCTGCTCAGTGTATAATAGCTAGAAATTTGTAAAATCTTTGTGAACATTCTGTACTGGTTCCCCAGAGCTATTCATTCCCTGCTACCTGATTCAGCACAATAAATATACTACTGTTGTGGGAAAAAATGCTTTTTTCTGTTAATCAGTTTATTATAATGTAAATTGTCTGCTAGATGTCTATTTATCTAGTTGTTAAAATTCTGAATTATTTTCCGTTGCTAATGGCTCTGGTAGCATAGTGGCTAAGTCACTTGCCTGCTAACCAGACGGCTGG